CCACCGCTCGCCGCCGGCCCCCGAGCCCGCCCCGGCGCGCAGCTCCAGCAACCCGTTGCGCGGGGCGCGTCTGCCTGATGCCATCTTCACCTCGGAGGCCCGCGCCGCCGCGCTCGCCCCGTCCTGCCGCGCCTGGCCAGCTCCAACCGAGCACCCAGGGCGGAGGGCAGGGGGGCCCGGCTGGCCCAGCCGCCACCCTACCCCAGGCAGCTGGGGGCGGAGCCTCGGGGCGGAGCTGCAGAGGGGTGTGGCCAATGGCCAGGGGCGGGGCACAGCAGGAGCTAGGTTGCGGGTGGAGACGGGGCCCCATAGGGCGTCAGGGCGGGCCCAAGAAGTAAAAAGCGGAGGTACTGTGGGAGTCCGGTGAGGGGCGGGGCTCCATTTGGGGGCAGGGCTTCATTCGGGGGCGGAAACCTGGGGAATCCTTTGGAAGAGTCAGTGCTGGGAACCGCTGTCGAAGGCTGGGACCTTAACTCTCAGATGTAGGAACACAGGAGATAAAGAACCATGGATCCACGTGAGAGGCTTTGGGCGTCGGAACAGGGCTATGCATGGTGGAACACTGGGTTCTGGGACTTTGCAGCCAGAATTGCTAGTGGATGAGCTTTGTAAGGATTTGATTTCCCATTTGGGGATTCGGGCTTTGGTCTGTAGAAGTGCTTAGGGTGGGGCGCAGCTTCTAAAGGTGGCAGGCAGGGGCCTTCTAAAGGTAGCAGAGAGGAGAGCCTATGCAGAACCCAGGCAAAGCCAGGAGATGGACAGTTTCCACTTCTAAACTGGAGGGGAGGGGCAGGCCTGACGAAGCGCAGGGCTGTAATCCCATCCACTCAGGAGGCTGAGATAGGAGGATCACAAATTTAAAGCTAGACCGGGCCACTTACGGAGGCTGTCTCAAAATAAAAAATGAATAAAAACAGGACTAGGGAGGTGGCTCTGTGGTAGAGTGCCCCTCGGTTGGACTCCCAGTAACACACACACACACACACACACACACACACACACACACACACTACTCGAACTGTGAGGGCTGGTGAGAGAATCCAGAACTCCTAGTGTCCTCATGTGCAAGAAAGGTGGGCTGGCCGTGCATAGTGGCACACGCCTGTAATCCCAGGCTGAGGCAGGATAATCACCATGAGTTCGAGACCAGCCTGAGCTACAAAATGAGTTCAAGGCCAGCCTGCAAAAGAAGGGTGAGCTGCAAGCTGGGGTTGTAGATTTGGATGGCTGGAGACCTGGCTTCTGATCCCTGTTGAGATATTCTGTTGGCTCCAAATCTCACTTCTCTAGGCCTCATTTCCCAATCTGTGAAATAGGAGTCATAAGAACCCCTATTTCACAGAGCTTTCACAGGGATTATATTGACGTGGAGAACGTATTGCCAGCTGTGAATATCTGTCTATCGATATAATTGTTACTACTTGAATGCTTGCTATTGGCCACCTGTAGCACTCAGCATTTTTCATGTGCTGTCTTTGTCTTGCTATACAGAAAGGAAAACCTGAAATTAGAAGATCTCATTGGTCAGGGTCACACATTTATGAGCTGGGCAGAGCTGGGATTCAGACCTACCTAGGCCTGTTTCACACCAGTACCTTGGTACTAAACCACTCAGCTAGACAGTTGCCAAATACAGTAAAAAGGCATGATTTTTGTCAGGAAAATCACACCACATCGCACACTTCAACCCACCTTCCTATGCACCCTTTGTTTCCATCCTCCACTCCTAGCTGGGAGATGTAGAGTAACTACACCTTTATTTTTTGTTTTGTTTTGGTTTGGTTTGGTTTGGTTTGGTTTGGTTTGGTTTGGTTTAGTTGGTTGGTTGGTTGGTTGGTTTTGACACAGGATCTCACTCTGTAGCCTAGGCTGGACTTGAACTCACTGTGTAGCCCAGACTGGCCTCAAACTTGTGGCAGCCTCCTGAGTGCTAGGATTACAAGTGTGAAGCACCACACCCATCTTCCTGCACCTTTGCGTAGGACCCTCCACATAAGATTCCATCAAGGGAAAAAAAAGAAAATTCATGGGAGAGGGGGACATAAAAAGAATTAAGATGTGTTATGTATATATAACAACTCCTTGTGATGAATGTAATCATTATATACTGTAAACATGTGCTAATAAAGATTTTTAAAATTTAAAAAAGAAAAATCACAGGAAAACAGGTACATACACATGTTGTCTACAGCAAACTTACATTCATAAGTAACCAGACACAAACCAAACCAAACAAACCAAAATGTCTAAGCATAGGGAGGAAAATGGCTCTGAAAAATCCAGAGGCCACATATATGATACATATGAATTATATGCACATACACATATGATCATAGCATTTATTTGGTATTCACTATACATTGACATTGAGCTGGCTGATTTATATACATTGCCATTTGATCTCACTTAAATCCTAGACAACCCGTATATTATTCCTATTTTATATATGAAGAGAGGGAGGCAGGCACACTAGTACCAAGAACAGACCTCTATTTTAACCTGGATCTGTCTGGCTTCCAAGCTCATATCCTTTCTGCTCCTTTCTGCAGCACACATAGTGTCAGAGATGATTCTACAATTCATTTATTCACAAGTGTTGTTTTTTTTTTTTGGTACCAGGAATCAAACTCATGACCTCAAGCTTGCCAGGCAGGTGCTGTGCCACTGAGCTATATCGCCAGCCCTTTTCACAAGTAGTTTTTGAACATCCACCATGTGCCACAATGCTCAGGGATTCAGTTGTAAACAAGATAGACAGACTATTCCCTCACAGAGCATACAATCTTATGGAAGGCAGGATCCCCTCATAACTCAAGCATAGAGTTAGCCAGGCATGGTGGCACGCACCTGTAACCCTAGCACTCTGGGAGGCTGAGGCAAAACGATCACAAGTTTGGGCCCAGCCTGGGCAACTTCACAACTTAGCAAGACCCTGTATCAAAAAGCAGGGGTGTGGGGTCTGGGGATTTAGCTCAGCAGTACAGCACAAGGCCGTGAGTTCGATTCCCCGTACCGGAAAAAAAAAAAAAAAAAAAAAGCGGGGGTGTGCTAAGGATGTAACTTAGTGTGAAGGTCCTAGTATTAAAAAAACAAACAAACATAGATTCAGAGTCTGAGCTCATCCATTCAAATTCTCACTGTAGGAAATGAAAATGATAGCTTACTGGTAGAGCACTTGCCTGACAGGCATGAAGCCCTAGGTTCGCTCCTCAGCACTACCACCAAAAAAAAAAAAAAAAAAAAAAGGTGGCCATCATGGTTCACATCTCTAATCCCAGAACTCCAGAGGCTAAGGGAGGACAATCTCAAATTTGAGGCCAGCCTTGGCTACATAGCAATACCATCAAAAAAAAAAATCTCACTTTTGGTCTTTGTGGTTCTGGATGACTTGTTTAACTGGTAAACCTTCATTTCATAATCTGTAAAATGGGAATATTAAAATTATTACCTCTGGGATTATTATAAGGAATAAATAAAATAAAATAAACCAGTAAACTGCTCAACACAATCCCTATTCACAGTAAGTTTCCAACAAATATGGATTGTAATTATACTGGAAAACAAGCATCAACCAAACAGAGAGCTAAGCAGAGAGCTAAGTAACAAAACAAGGGAGATACAGGTGTGGTGGCAGCACTCGAGAGTCTGAAAGCAGGAGGTTCAAGGCCAGCCTGGGCTATAGAGTGAGTTCAAGGCCAGCCTGCACTATGAAGTGACACCTTGTCTCAAAAATTAATTAATTAATTAAAAATAATTCAGCCGGGCATGGTGGTGCACACCTGTAACACCAGCACTCAGGAGGCTGAGGCAGGAGGATCGTTGCAAATTCGAGACCAGCCTGGGCTACAAAGTGAGCTCAAGGCCAGCCTGAACTGTATAAAGTCTCAAAAAGACAAAAAAATAAAAATAAAAAAGAATTCAGTATCTCGCATATATGTGTATGACAATAGATATATGGAAGAAAGGGGAGGAAGGGAAGGAGAGAGAAAGGAAGGAAAGATGAGAAGAATGGAAGGAAAGAGAGTATAGCAATGTATAGATGCCCTAATAATTTGAAAGTATAATTTTGCTTAAAGATTATAGAACAGGGCCGTGGATATAGCTCAGTGGCACAAGTGTCTGCTTGATAAGCGCAAGGTCCTGAGTTCAATTCCTGGTACCAAAAAAAAATATTATAGAACAATCTGAAAAGTTTAGGGTAAGAACTTATGGTCAGTAAGAACTGCATCCTACTTTTTGGCTTCTAGAAGTGTCACTCTGAGGGCAGCAGAAGGACAGGCGAGATCAGGCCAGGGAGAGGGGTAAAGCTCCTTTGCCAGCCCCAAAGCCTAGAGCAAGATCCTTGAAAGTCTCTCCACGTGCTGCCCTGTTTAAAAGAAACTTAATGAGGCCCAGACAAACTTGATGAGAAAGAGCCCTGCTGGAGAGTTCCTCCCCTGGGGAGGATTTTCTGTGGATAGGATGGGAGGGAAGGGGACAGGGAATCTGTTTGTAGAGGGGCTAGCAGAGAAAGAAAGATGTAGAGCCAAGAAAATAGTGGTGTGTGCATACACATGTGCATTTATGTGCACTGTGTGTGCACGTGTGTCCATGATCACAAAGTCCAGGCAGTGCCAATCACCCCAGGAAGCTGGAGCTGGAGGAATGCTCTGCTCTGCCTCGTGATCAGCTGATGCCTCTGCTGTGGCTCAGAAATTGGCCTCCCACACACCCACAGGCCTGGCTCCCCACCAAGCCTCAGGCAGAGCTCCCAGAGGAAAACAGTTCACACCCAAAGGATGGGGGGTGTGGGGGAAGCTGCCCAGCCCACTGAAGGCCCCACTGGCTCAAGCCCTCAGACCAGGGTTCTGATGCCTGGCAGACAGGGAGATCTGTCCACATCAGCTCCAGGACAAGGAGCAAGGATCCCTATATCCCTGGTCTCCCACACCCAGGGATAGCAGTGATAAAGACAGTTTATGAGGGGCTGGGGATTTAGCTCAGCGGCAAAAGCGCCTGCCTGGCAAGCGTAAGGTCGTGAGTTCAGTTCCCGGTACCAGAGAAAAACCAAAAACAAAACAAAAAAAAAAAAAAAGACAGTTTACGTGTCTGAGTGCCTGATGTATTGCTTTCTGTGCATCATCTTATTTTATACTCACAACAATCCTAGCAAATAGGTCTTGTTACTATTCCCATTCAGCAAATGAGGAAACTGACACATGGACTAGTAAACCAAGGTAGTCTGGCGCCACAGCTCCG